TGTGATAGTTCAATTCAGATTAATAAACAATAAATAGTGTGATATCTTCACAGACATTTATTCAAACCTAATACCTGAACCGCACATCCAGCCCCTTCCTCAGGTTTTCTTTTTTCTTAGGTACAGTTATGTTCTATTCTGCCTGTGCTTGAGGCATGAGCCCAAGGTAAACACCACTATATTGAAATATATATATAAAAATATATATATATAATGAAATGGCTTTCTGTTCAACTGGAAATCCAACCCAAGAAAGATTAACCTTGCTCATACTGAGTTAGAAAAGTCTCAATTTGAAGGAGATGCAAGTAATCAATATTGTTCAAAGCCTTTGTATGGCAGCACTTGCTCAGATCAGTGATCCTAGGTAATTTCCTGATTACACTGCAAAATACAATACAGTACCTTGGTCTTTTAACCCCTCACAAAGGGATTTTCAGCAAAGTCATTGTATGTGAGCAATTGTGAAGTGCCTGGAAATAAAACAAAGGAAAGCAGACAAAGATACCAGAAAACCCCTAAACCTTCTTGTTCTCCTGGTCTGTTGCACAAAAGTTTGTGGACACTTTTTTATATTCTGCTACTGCATAAATTGTACTCTTTGTGCAAGAATGAAACAGTTCTCAAAAGCACTCAAAGGAATTGTCACAAGTGTCTGTATGTACTTTCAAATATGATTTCAAAATGGCTAATTCTCATCTTAAGGCTGGATATACACTAAGTATAACAGCTTTGTCTTTTCAAGTGAAAGAAAAACACTCTGCTATGATACTGGCATGACCTTGGCTGGAGAGTTCACTTGCATAGGAGTATTATGAAAACTTTCCATGTCCTTTTTACCCTTCTGTTGGGTATTATGTTCTAAAAGACCTAGCCTGCTCCATACTGCATTGCCAGGTAAAACATTTTTTTCATATTGATTGAAGCACTCACATGAACTGGAGAATGAAGCTGATTTTTAAGAACAAAGGAGTCCAGTGCAGTCTGTATTGATTACTGAATAATGAGGTTATGATTATGATATGGTTTTATATGCTCAAAGTGAATTAAACTGCTTACTTTGTGACTGGCAGTTTCCATCTTCAATCAGGAATCTTTATTAACACTCATCTTGTTTTTTAAAGTCTCCAAGTGACCATTAATGCTTTAATGTCTTTAATAAATTGGTTTCCAAAACTGCACACATTTTTATTCCACTGTGGGTCCAATGTTAAGGGTCAAAAAGCCTTTGAAACAAATTTAAATAACATTTGTAATATTATGTTGAAATTTATGATCACTGTTCAGCACAAGTTAAGGGCTTTTGTCGCTGTCTTCTGTTTGTACTCTAATGCATCAGTATTTATAGTTGCATAACCACTTGAGAAATCAATATGAAGTTTTATTAAAAAGGCATTATGAACTACTCTGTATAGATTTGCTTTGTATAGACTTTTTTTTTAAGCAAAACTCTTTACGCTTTAAAAACGTTACTCCTAGTAAAAGAGGTTGTCTTTGCCAAAACGAGGGATGTTATTTTTGACACCATTCCCTGTGGAAAGGAGGAGAAAAACAGATTCTAGACTTGACAATTCAAATTCTTAGTAGGGAAAAATACTTCAAAGCAGATTTTTAAAAATAGAGTGAAGGATGTTTAACGTATTCACTTTTGTTTAAGGTGGTTCTTTACATTCTTCTTTTTAAAAAATGAGCGTGGGCAAACTTACATTACACTTTAAAATAATAATTGTGCAATCCTCATTAGCTGGTATCATTTAAATACCTCATGATAAATAATTGGTTTAAATAGAGATGCTTGATCTCGATTCTAAATGGTTAGATTGTTATTGTTATTTCATTTTCTTTAAATATGATTAAAGCAAATAAATATATATTTCATGGCTGTTGATCTGTTCTGATCCATTTTTTAATTAAAAATGTAAGGCTTTTGACATATATTTTATCTATAGATTATTCTGAAATGCTGTATTGACAAGTATGAGATGCAAGGTTGTAGTTGTATTTGACAGGCAATGAATGCTTCTTCACCTTGAATAACACTATAAAAATAAAAGGCAAAGTGCTGCAGTTTAAAGGGGGACTTCAGTCCAAATTTCTGTGACCTGTTATTAAATCTTTGAAACAAAATAAATGAATTGACATTATAGAAAAAAATAACACTAACTTACAGTACTTTCACAAAGTTCACAAACTTGCATTTGGGTCCCCACAAATTGCAATATGATGGAGCCCTTCCTGCTCACTAGTCACCGTAATGACTAATGTGAAATATGAGCAAATAAGTACAGGCTGTGCAGCACACATTCCAAGTTAACAAGTAAGTAATATTTGTTGGCAAAACTGTCTCAAAACCGAAACAATATTGCTATTGAATTAAAAGAGATGTATTCACATGTCTGCTTGTTTACAATGAAATAAGGCTACAACACATCACTGGACGCTTTGTTGCCTCTTTCTGAAATGCAGAACATAACGCTGCACATACCTGGAAGTTTAGTATTTTGGGATGTAAATTGGAGGTTTTACAAGTTACTGTGCACATTGTACTTTTATTGTGGTCTGCAATGCCCTATGAATTCTGATTCTAACCCCAAAATAAAAAAATAGCATTGCAGATCTCCTAATTTTTGCATACAGGGGGATCCTGAGGTCAACGTAGCCTCAAGTATTTCAGTATGAAATTCTATAATCATAAGCCGTTTTGTACCTCCTATCAAACAAGTATGTGGCTCTGACCAACTTCACCATCAATAGCAGGAAGGAAAGTTTTTAACCATGATTTCATTTGTCATGTTGCCAGTCTGGACCCTTAATCTTAATAGATGTTTTCCTTAATTCTTTTCCTTAACAAATTTTCCACAAAGTGTAATACTGTGTGTTAATTTGTTCCACTTTCAGAGGGAAGAAATACAGATTTCTGATTAACTTCTCAAAGCCAATCTTTGGAAAAGGAAATGTATTGTGTACAAATTTACAAGGCAGCACTATTTCACTGGTTAAGGAGAAGCAACAGCAAAGAATAAAGCACCCCGAGTATAGTCATTAAAACATAGAATTTAGAAGAATGCAGATGATGGAAATTCCTATAATTCCCTCATTAATCCTTTCCACATTCCAATACAGCACTGCAGTGACCTTGAAAAAAAACAGCAGATGTTCCCAGCTCTAGTTACTTGGCAACACATCTCTCACATCCTAGGGAAGATAACTCTTTCTGGAAACTTAGCAGCACAATTTGAAAGAGATTACATTATGTTTCATACAAAATTAAGCATTGTAAGCTTAATTAGAACGGGAACAGTCTATAACACAGTGCTCCAACTCTGCCCAGAACTAGGCATACTACCAGTAAATATTTACGTTATATTGTCCCTTGAGCTTCTATCTACTCAATCCATTACCTGTAAAAGCTGAAATACTTTACTCAAGAATTGTCTTGTCTGACCATTTTAGAAGTTAAAATAATACAATTTTTGTTCATTCAACTTTTTGTTGATTCAGCTCATCTACTAAAAACATTTCTTATATTCTGTGTATGCAATTTGAGTTCTTGCCAAGAATACATGGAGGAGATTAGCTCAAAAACATGCATAGAAAAGATCTCACACTGTCCTACATTCCTTTTTTTTCCTGAAAAGGGATTAACAAATATTTTCCAATCATGACTAAAGTATTTCCATTTACTTCACAGGGAAAAAATCTAATTTCAGGATACTCCCCCTAGATTTCAGTATTCTGAAACAAGCCTGTTTCAAAAGTTTACATCATTCACAAAAGTTGTCAGTAATAGTGTATGAGTGTGAAAGTCTGTTTTTTCTTTACAAAAAGCAACATTATGCAGCTTAATAACATTGCATAAACATTTCATTATGAAACTACTGACAGCTTCTGTAGGACAGATGAAATTTGTTAGAATTAAACTGCTATAATGTGTCAATTATTGTAACATGTCTGGAAAATATTTTTCTTGGAAATACATCAGTAAAAAATAAAAAAATCTTGAAGGTCTCAGACTGACATATCCCCGGTTTAGAAACAGACATTTAATGGATTCCATTTTATGATTTGCATTGCAAAGTTCAAAACTGTCTGTTCTTTCATAGTGGTTTGTAAGAAATTCTGATAAATGCAAGAATATCCTACAGCTTCAGATTTCAAATCAGCTTCAGTCTCCTAGTAAATTTCTATTTGTTTTAAGTCACTTTTAATAAAAGATCCAAGCATTTGAGGAGCTTTATCATTTAAGTTCGTAAGTAAGGGTCCTGACTCTCCGTGGTCATTAAAAATCCCAGGGTGTTTCTCGGAAAGAGTAGGGGTGTGACCCCAGTGTCCTGGCCACATTTCCCATTGGCCTTTACCAATCATGGTCTCCTAATAATCCCCATCTATGAATTGGCTTCATCACTCTGTTCTCCTCCCCACTGATCGCCAAGTGTGGTGACTGTACTGTGCTCACTGTGGTTCCCGATGGGGCTGCACATTGGTGATGGAGGAAAGTCCCCATTACCTGTAAAGCGCTTTGAGTGGAGTGTCCAGAAAAGCACTATATAAATGTAAGGAATTATTATTTAACCTTTCAGTGTATGTTTGTGAGGAACTAGCTAGAAGTAATTTTATTCACTCACAGACATAAAAGAGACAGTGACAAAAGTTCATTGTAATTTGATAAATCCCATTTGATAAACCCCTTTTCTAAACTTTTTTATGATGCATTTGTCTTCATTTTAAAATGACTGAAGCATCTGGATTCAGTCTGGTATCAATTTGTCACAAAACGGATTAATTCTGCAAAATGAATATTTTTAAAAATTTAAATAAAATATGAAACATTTCTCATCAGAGAAGTGATTGCTATTTTCAGCATAGCCACTAGAGGGACTCCCCCAGTTCTTCTTTCAAGGAGCATGGATCGAGACTTGAGCACTGATGTGGTACAAAGATGGGATTTATTTATTTTTTAGTAGTAAAAGTTTATTTTGAGGAAAAAAAAGAACTATATGTATATAAAAACATATATTTATTATTTCATTAACATTGGTTAACTTTATCAACAATTTGTGGCAACACACCAAAGATATACATTAGCCAAGAGAACTCTGCACATTGAGTAGCTATAATCACAAAGACCCCAAGCTAGCATGCTTCAGTCTTTGAGCTCCATTAACTCATTTGAGCATTAACAAAATAGCAATTAGTGACAGATGGAGAACATTTATCCTAACTAGTATACATTTCTCCAATCATATTTCCCACTCAGTAGTTATTTTTTCTTCTGCTTTATTAACTGTGATAGGAAACATAGTTCAATGTGTAAAACTACTCTCTTCAAGGTGTTAAAAAGCTCAGATACACAGCTCATTTTGATGATGATAAAATCTGATGATAAAGTATCAACTGTCAGTGTTCATATTTTTTTAAAGAACTTGTTCCATAGCTGTAAAATACTAACAGCAAATGCTTTTGTAGAAATGGCACTGATGTGGTCTCTTCCACCTGTCAGACATTTCCTGTACATACTAGTATCGGTGCAACGTGTATCTGTATATACCTTAGTTTAAAATGTTCATTTTCCATTAAAAGACTGCCACCAGTGCAGTCTGTATTTATAGTCACAACAGCAGTTAGCCCAGGACCTCACATTGTGTCATATGAGTGTGTTTATTTAATAGTCTTCAAAGTTACATTTAAGAAATGCTGAATTTACAAAAACCCTCCCATCAGCTCAACTGATTGCCCTAGCTCACGGTCTACTTTATATGCAAATCTCAGAAAACAGTATTTCAATTCAATGTTTATTTATATGCCCAGAAAGGTCACATATTTGCACAGTAATGATCTATGGACATTCCCCTTGGTTCAGCTTTGACATTATGAAATTTCAAATTCGGTCCACTGTAAAAACTACAGCAGCTTTTGTTCTAGATGTTCCAGAAATCAAAACATTTGGTATGGATTTTAATGCAATTTTTAGCCATTAGCTTTTTGCTAAAATGTAGTGTAATTTTAGCAATTAGCCATTAGTATCCTACTATTATAAAAGAAACAATACAGCATATAGTGGGTAAAAAAAAGACTCTCCACTCTGAGAAATTAGGAGCAGAATTACACATTTTAAGGCAATCTAAAAACATCTGAGAGGATCTTTGTCTACAGCAAAGAATGCACCTTGGTTGGTACAAATTAATGGTTAAAGATGAAGGATGGAGAGGCAGTGGTTTTCCTTCAGTGATCCAAAGCAGACAGGTCTAGTGGTTACAAGTGAATATGAGTAAATAACATTTCTTCTTGCCCTGTAACAAAAGATGCAGCAGGAGATGGGCACCTACTATTTTAATAGAAGCATATAAAATTCAAAGAGAAAAGCAAATCTATATAACATCATGATCAATTACAGAACTGCACTTTGTTATATTGTAAGAATCGCAAGAGAACATCAAATGAAAATTGTGTTTGTGAAAGATATATTTTGATTGAAATCCGGCAGCAACAGATTGCAAGCTTTACATCCACAGGCTTGGTTATTAACTCCATCAAGGACTAATTTCACTAGCTGTGGTAACTGCATCAGTTATAACTGTTCAAATTAAAACAAAAACATGCACTCCCTGATACATACAGTACATCCAAAGTGACCATTTGCTGGGTATATTTGTCTTGATAATCAGTTGCACTAAACAGACACCTTCCCACAGCTTTTTTTTCAAGGTAACGCCAGCCCAACACATCCCCTCACAGTGAGAGGCTTGTGCTTGGTTTCTGCATCAGTATGTGCCAGAAGGAAAAGCAAATAAAAATAACACAAGTCCCATATAGTAATATAAAGTACAAACACATTTAAATACTGTCATTTACAAGGTTAAAACATTTACAATAATTGCACATATATCCAAAACAAAAGTTTGACCTAATTCCCGCTCATTCAAAGTAATATGAAAGACTGTGGAGCTGTTCTGACCCAAAACAGATGCCTGGCTTAAAGCAACATTGTAATTTCTGTATTTAGAAATAATCATGCTTATTCAAACCTGACTAGAACCTCAGGCATAAATGAAGACTAAGCCACTGTCGTAGCCCCACTGTTAGGCAATACTATTATCCAGAAGAAAGTGCAATATTTATTAATTCATTTGTTAATCAAACTTAGTGGTAATTAATTCAACACTGTTATAAGGCCACCTTAGCCTGTGCATTGCTAATTAAAATAATTGTGTATTGTTGGCCAAGACAATAGCTGCCTAAAAATAAGAACATAAACAGCAAGGATTCTACAATAAAGCACTTTTTAGGGAACTCAAAGGATGTGACAGATCTAAAATAAATATGGTCTTTGGTTATTTAACACGCTTAGGTGCAGGATAACATGTCATGAAGTCCACATTAGCAGGATATTCAAGATGTTTCTATGTAATATCTTCAATTGACTGAAGAATAGGGACATGGTATATACATAGTATCCATAGCAAAAACTAAACACCTGTTTTAAGTTTCCAGGTCTTAACCACAATTGGAAAATTAATTGTTCATAATTTAGAGCATTGAGTTAAAAGCAGTCACAATTCAAATGTGTGAAATATCTGCAAATCCCTCTAAGGTATTATTACAAATCGATGCATGACCTTAATTTTGTTTATCATCTAGAGAAATATGTATTTCCAGGGTGTAATATGTAATATGTAAAATTGTAAATATGTAAAATTCTTATATAGTACAGGAGGACGTGCTGTAGGTTGTTTCATGACTTTCCATTCTTCAACAAACATTTGATTTAATTTGGAAAGCTCAGCGTTAATGAAATGCACATTAGGTACATGACTGAGACTAAATGAGTTTTTAATTGTAGTTCAGACCAATAATGGGTTTATACAGCACTAGTTATTATTAAAAAAACTTTCTAAGCCTGAAAACGTAAGGCTTATGATCTACATAAAACTGAACACTGGGTTTTCTTAACAGTAAAATATATCTACATAAACTAATGCAAGATCAATAAACAGCTTAAGAGATAGAAAATGGTCAGAACAGCTCAGCTAAAGTCATGCCCAAGAACAAACTGAAGACATGGGGAAAAAAAGTGGAAAACTGGCAAGAAAATGTGCACTAGTCTCCTGTTTTAACAATTCATGGTACCATGAACTAAACTTGAAACCATATTCAAAGTCCCCTCTTTACATAAGTTTTTTATTTAGGTAAATATTTTCTTATATTCTAAAATCTGTGACATTTCTTTTGAAAAAGTAGACTCCTGAAATAATATATTCATGTAGAACTAAATATGATCGTATGAAAACCAATAGTATACTTATAATGGGAGCAAAAAGAAAGAATAAAATACACAAAGTCAAAGGAAAGCAAGGACTGCATTCATAAGGAACACTAATTATTGCTCATTGCACTTAATTGGCCAATTTGCTCAAATGAATACATTAAGCATCTTACAGAATACCTTCTATAATTGATGCTCTTTTTTCAAGCTATTGTACCCTAAATACAATTTGAGGTCTAAACAAAGTGGTTTTGATTTGTCCAATTAACCACATATTTTGAAAATAAAGTCAATCAAAGCTCAAATAACATAAGGGAAGAGACAATGCAACCTTCTATAAGTCTGACACCCATTTTAAACCACGTAGCAAAGCTTTTATAAGTATTCAATTCAGTAAAGCCTTCAGTATTTGACTAACAGATGAACCAATATTATTTGAACTCCTTTTTAATTACTGAATTACATCTCTGGAGATATGACATTCAAAGTGTAAGTGTCCTTGGCATGTCTTTTATCTGACAATAGTGACGTTTATATTCAATAACATAAAAAAAGAACCAAGAGAAAATTATATGAACTGCTTCCTTGGAAGTAAGCATATTAAGTACTTGTACGTAAGTCAAATTAACTTAACAGATTAAGTACTCTCCCAAAACTGCAGCTACTTATATGGAAATGGCACAGGAACGGTTCAGTTTAGCCTTATATCTGACAAAAAGTCAACTGACATGAAGTGTCTTCTTATTGACAAAAAATAGAATCCTGCTTTTAAAAGGTTACTGCTCACCTTAACTATTTTTAAATCTCAAATGACGTGTGTTTCACCTGGAAACTCAAGCCGGTCAGTACAAGGTTAGAAAGGGCAAGACAAATCATGTCAATTATGTCCTGATAGAAGGAAAACAAAAATAATATTCAACAACATCAATAAAAAGAAAACCACTGAGGCTGTTTTACTTTTCGAATATAGCCCAAAATGCTAAAGATAACAACATGGTTGAAAGCAATTAGTAGCAGTTGACCTCTTTAAAGCAGTTTTTTCTTATGAAACAAAGTGTGGTTTATTTTTAGTTGCTTAGGCCTTAAGCAAATGGAAATGCACTTGTAAGCGTTGTTCACTGTTCATGTTCTGACATTTTTAGCAGAAAGTTTGCTCCTTTTCATGTTTGTTGAAGTGAGACAGGCATCAAGAAGAGTGTTAATGCAGAGTATAAGTAAGAGTTCAATGATGTTGCTGCTGCTTTTGGTTCTGCTGCAAAATCTGAACAACACGACTCAGAGAGTCTGTGGTGGAGAACGCCAAGTACTGACAGCACAACCAATCCTCCAAGCTCACCCCGCAACCAGCATCCAATGAACGCTCTGCAAACTTGATCATCATCAGTGTCCGTTTAAGGTCCAACCAGTTCTGCAAGGTTGTCTCTCTGTGACCTGGCCCTGGGCTGGCATTCAAAGTCTGGAAGAGGTCCTCTCGTGGTCCCCATAGTAGACACTGCAGGCAAGCCCTGGCGTCTGAAATCTGTATGCGCTCAGATGGGTTGGCATTGAGCAGAAGGCTGGCCAGCTGCTGCAGACCTTGAGAGTAGAGGGAGCGTGGTGGGAGGGGTGGCAGATCAGCTCGAGTGTACTCCTTTTCTTTCAGCTCAGGGGTCTCCTCAAAAGGGTTAGGCTGGTGAAGCATCTCATAGATGAGGATCCCTGTCTGGAATTCATCGCACTTCTTGTACTGTGTGGCTGTGATGATCTCTGGAGCCAGCCTGGACTGGTCTTTCAAGACATCAGGGTCTACCAACTGGCTTTTCTGTTTGGCTTGTGAGAAGTTGCTGATGATAAGCCGGGCTGGGCAGGCAGAATTAGCAGCAGAAGTGCTCATGCCACCACCAGTATTATTGTTGTTATTGGGCTCCATGACATCCAGATTCCAGGGATTGCCTGGTTGGCACTGCACCAGGAGCAAGTTTTCCAGACGCAAATCGCAGTGTGTCACGTGGTAGGGCTTCATGTGCTCCAGACCCGAGCAAAGCTGAAGCAGGAGGAGGCAGACTTGACGCTCATAGAGGTCAGGGTTTCTCTCGTGACGTGTCACCCCTTCCCGCACAAAGTCCGCAACCGTTTGGTAGGGCACCTCCCTGGTGATCACCACAACACGGCTGCGCAGTTTTCCTGAGGTGTTAATGTCACTTGGATGTCCTGGGGTCTGGGCACTGTGGCTTGGCATCTTGGGCTCTGCTGGTTTCTCTGTCTTCTTTCTTGTCTTTTCACTCTGTTTGCCCACTTTTTCCTCATCCTCCTCCTCTGGAGAATTGGGGTCCTCCCAAGGAAGAAGCCGGACGGGCACATCGGCAAGGAAATGGCCGCAATCCTGCTGGATATTGAAATGGACAGCCAGACTCTGTCTCACTGCCAGGCTGTGGAAAAACTGCTGCTGGGTTTCTTTGACTTTGCTCCTGCAGATCTGTACAAGAGAAGGAATGATAATTAGAGCCCAGCTTCTCCACATTGTTAAAACAAGGTATAAAGTGAACTCTATGCAGTTTAAAACAAATTTGATTAATAAGCCTAATCAGAATTTGAACTGGCTAGGAATACAATTTAACCTGCAAGGAAGCATACTATTTAAAGGTGCTTACGTAGCAAAACCAATAAAAAATGCAAAGTCTTTGTGAAATAGAAAACGTAAGATAGAAACAACCACTGTGTTTACATGGTATGAAGTAATAATAAGGTTTCACAATTTTTAATTTAACAGTAGGAATATAGTGCTCAGATGGCAAATTTGTTGGAAAACCCTTTAGAACTGTTTATATGGCAGTGAGATTTGAAAAGTGATTTGAAAAGGATATGAATTGAGTAAGCATTATCTGAGTGCGTGTAGAAACATAATTCCTGCATCTCACTGCAAATGTTGCATGGCTGGATTTCCCAATCTAATTACACATAGAAATCTGATTAAACCAGATATAAAGCGTGATCCAAATGCTCAAAGTGAGTGACGTTCTTTCAGTGGAATTAATGCTTTTACAATAAATATTCTGGGAATTAGGGATGAGGTTACTTCACAAAGTATAATGGAATGGCACTGTAGGTACATGAAAACCTTTAATCACATTCTGACTGGATAAATGAAATGACCTGCAATTTAAGTGAATGTCTGCAACATTAATAATTTTACATGTTTATACCTTATTAATCCGTCTATTCCTGATTGTTTTTTTTTATTTCTGCTATAGTGTATTATAAGTGCACATTTCTGTGCTATAAAACTGCTAACTGTGACTGGAATTTCTATATGTTATTTGCAAATTTAAGGTAGGGATTTTGTGTTTTACCTCGAAAAACAAGAAAAACATTTTACATTGTATTTTCCGGTTTCTACTGTATTCAGCCTGCATATGCAACTGGCATTTACCGGCTTGGAATCTGACGCTCATGTAAAATTGTTCAAACTTAAGGGGAACTGCAAAACTATTTTTATATTTTCTGCTTAGCATAAATCAGCACTGATGAGTGTATTTTAAAACCACAATTAAAGTAAAATGATCTTCCAGTGGATGTGCCATTGTACTGTCTGTTTTACTGAATGTAGAAGAAACCAAGCTGCTTCTTTTAAAACACTGCTTCTCAATTATGAATCACTATATTAGGAATAATGTCATCAATACTACATTTTAAGAACAACTACATACATAAAGACAATTAAACTCATTATATCAAATTAATTAATTTTAAGTAATTAAACTTAATTTATTTTCCAGCTGGGCAGTCCATCTGTAATAAAAGAGCTAGAATTACAGATACATTTTTCTGAGTGCTTTCTTTGTGACCTCCACACATTCATTCCTGTTATGAACCTGAGGTATTAAAGACAGGACAGCAAAAGCAACATATGCCAGAACCCTTCATGCTAGTGCTTGCTCTCACATAATGACTTTAGAGATGGTCTCATGGCTCTGTCTAGACACTCCTTAATTGCACTTGCACTGTTGCAAAAGTGGTGAACATAGCAAACTATATAAATCTCAAACTCGGAGAATTAGCTGAATCTGTTCTATATAATAAAGAACTGAATTGTGCATTGCAATTAAAACCCTGTAATCAAGACCATTCAGAATAAATTTCTTCCTTACACACATAACTTTCTTCCTTACGCACTCAAAATCACTCCATTTGGTAAAATGTTATAAATGCTGAAGAGTCAGGTAAAAAACTTCCTATTTATCTCACTCTTTTTAATTCATAAACAGTGAATAGCAATAGCTAGCAAATAAAATGATACATATTCCTCCTAAATTGCACTTTGGTATCAGACCATTTCCTATGTGAAAGTTTTCTCTAGTCTTTTTGAGGATAAATGCCACGCTAGGACGGTAAAATACAGTGACAGATAAAAAATATTTGAATATTTGTGTGAAGTCACGTTATTCACTTAATTTAATAAATGTTGTTTTTTGAACTATGCCTTTTAATTAATAGCATCTTTTAGTGTTGCCTTAGGGTAGAAATTTATTCAGTTCAGGATGATGGTTTCAATATTTGGCAACATCAGAGATATTTATAGAGTTCAGTGATATATGTGATCACACATCATATTAAACAGGGA